ACTCATCTGTCATCTTGCTTCACTATGAAATTTCCAATCATTCAATCCATCAGTCAAATCTCAATCATCATTAATTCTCTATGAACATATTTGAACTAGAATCAGAAAAAGGAAATTTCATAATTACTATTAACATTACCTACATATCTCTTAAGGTGACTTTAATCTATAGGTTCTTTGTCTATTTCTTTTGTTTCCTTGTGTTTTTCTTCTTTCTTTTTTGCCAGTCCTGGGGCTTGAATTCAGGGCCTGGGCACTGTCCCTGAGCTTCTTTTGCTCAAGTCTAGCACTTTACCACTCTAGCCACAGTGGCGCTTCTGGCTTTCTCTGCTTATGTGGTACTAAGGAATCGAACCCAGGGCTTCATGCATGGTAGGCAAGAATTCTACCACTGAGCCCCCTTTCCAGCCCCTTCCTTGTGGATTTTCTGTGGAAGAAATTATTGCTTGTCAAAAGGAGTTTTCACTGTGGGTTTCACGGACCATGTAGTCATTCAACCTGAGTTGTTGTCACATATGCTCAGCCGTGGGTATGGTTTTGTTTCTACTTGTTCGTGTTTGGCATGCTTCTTAACTTGGATGCCCTTGGGCAATAGAATCTGCTGTGTCTCCACATGCAGATGGAGGTCTGATTTCCCGGGATTTCATGTCTTTCTGATGTGTTTGTTCAGCAATGCCTGACTGGTTTGAGGAGTATGAGGACCCAGCTCGCTGGTCCCATGTCACTTCAGCTCTGAGGCATATTTTCCACTCCAGCTTCTCTTTTTATTGACATTAAAAGCTTTTATTATTATAAAGGTGATAGACAGAGTGGTTACAGTTAATAAAGAGTGCATTTCTTTTTGGACAGTATCACGTCTTTGCTCTCCCTCTCCCTCTCTGTCTCTGTCTCTCTCTCTCTCTTTTGGTTTTTCCTCCCCCCCGCCACAAGTTGTATAGTGCATTTTCAATATAGCATCTAGTGAGTACCACTGCTGCAAAACTGGACATTTTAACATGCAAACATCTACGACTTCTCCCTGTCAGCCCACATGTCTACAGAGTAGAATTCATTTCAGAGGACTCCCAAACTGAAGCAGACTGCCTGCCTGTTGTTTAGTACCTCCAGCTAGGGATGATTTTGATGGGTACTGAGGCTCAGAAAATGCTAGCCCAAAGAGAAAGCCTGAGAAGCAAAGTTTTTCTTGCACCTTCTGGCCTCCTGTCACTGTCCCCCTGCCTCTTTCCTCAGTCTTCCCTCATGGCAGGTGTTAGAAACTGGAATTCCTCTTGTCCAGAGTAGGTCATAGAAACTAGAATCTCTCTCCCCTAAAGCCAACAATTCTGGAGCCTACAAATATTTCTTTGGAATACGCCCACTCCTGATCATTCTGTTTTAAAGCTAGTCATAGAGAATTCCTCTGGCCTACCTTGTCTGAGAGTAAGTCATAAGACCTTCATTTCAGAAAGAGTTCTGCCTCATAGACAGGAGGAAGGAATTCTGTACAGAGAGGCCAAGAAGACTGAACACTTGGGAAAAATAATCCATCAATTCAGCTTGAGTGGTCTCAGAGACCTACACATTGAGGAGTAAATTTTGGTTGTTCAGAAAAATCTTGCACAAGTCTGCTGTATAAATAGATAAAAGAATTGTATTAAACCCACAAAGAAAACTTATCATATCACTCTAGTTACACCATATTTGCAAGCAGCAAGGTGGTTCTTAGATCCAATTTTAGTCCTGCTATAATATAGGTTTGTGTAACTATATCATTTATATATAGCCAAATTATACTTTAAAAATAGTCCATAATTTCCACTCCAGCTTCTCTTGCATCAGCAGGAAACTAAGGTTTCTTCTCCTGCCCTATCCTGCTTCCCCCAGGTCCTCACTAGTTTCCCTCAGAAGCACAGCCCTAATAAACTAATTTTCAAAGAAACCCTCTTCTCAGTGAGTGAATCCAAGGAGCCTAAGCAAGAACAGCTTCCAGTTGTGAGATGCAGGGATCAGCAGCCTGAAGTAAACAAAACCACTGCACTGGTGGTAAGTAGAGAGCACTAGTAGTTCTTGCCATGATATAATGTTATAATTACCATCACTTCGTATGTTTTTGAAGCTGCTTTCTCAGGTCTGAAGCTAGCAATACCACAACACTGTTTCATGTTCTTGAATTCATAATTCTCTAAGACCAGTGCTTTGCTAGGAAAGCCCAAGGCCTGCTATGTGCCAATTGCTGAGGGAAGTGCATTCCCAAGAGTGTTGCAGTCAGTCGCTGGTAAACCACGACAAAAGGATTCACCGTAAACCAGAGGGACATGGTGGATGACTATGATGGTTAATGTTGGATGTTGACATGGAGAGTGGTTTCAGATGTGGTTAATATTTAAATGAGTGACCTTAGAACAAAAGAATTACCCTCTGGATTGTGGTAGGACATTTTCTGTGCTGTGGATGGACTTTACCAAATCAGTGGAAGATCTTAGTAGAACTAGAATGTCCAGCCTCCCAAAGTAAGAGGAAATTATCCAAAAGACCGACTTCACATTTCATCTGTACCATCAGATCTCCAGGGTTTCTGCCTACTGACTTTCAGACTGGAGCTACACCATCAGCTTCCCTGGGTCTTGAGCATGGTGTGACATCTCATGCCTATAATCCTAGCTACTCAGGAGTCTGAGATCAGGAACAGCATAGTTCAAGGCCAGGCCAGGGAAAAGGCTAGCAAGATTTCTTATAAAGTATACTTAGAAGGATCATGTGCAGGCTAACATGAGTGTAAACATAGGACCCCATTCAAAAATAACTAAATCAAAAAAAGCTGGAGACATGGTTCAAATGGTAGAGTACCTGCCTAGCAAGTGCAAGGCCCTGAAGAACCCCGCCCCTCCCCCCCCCCCATTCTAGATCCCTCCAAAAAAAAGAGGAGGGAAAGAAGAAATACTAAAAGGAGGAGGAAACTTAGAAGGGCAGAAACTTAGTCTTGCATGGAGAAAGATCATCAGAAAAGGAATAAATGAAAGTTCAATAACATGTTTGTTTTTCTTGTTTTTAATAGCTCTCAAGCATAATGGTTTAAAGCAATAGTAACCTACTACATGATTATGACACTTGGGCGAGTGTTCTGGATGGCAGAAGAAAGAACTGAAAATGCTCCACTGTGAGTGGTGTGGACTGCTTGTGATACTGTCCAGCATTATCTGAAAATGAACAATTTATATTATAAATTCTAGGGAACTCACTAACTCCTAAGAAGTGTTAACACAGCAGATAAGATGAAGTAAAAAAAAAAAAAACCAAAACACCCACCACTCAATTCAAACCAGAAAAGGCAGAAAATAAAAGGAATGGAACACAGTGTGCGACTTCAGAAGGGGTGTGCACAAACTCCAGCTGCCTCTGATTGCTTCTTCTCAACCCCTAACCTTCCTGTCCTAGTCTGACTCAGGCTGACTTAGGACTTTAGCTTGCTTTCTTAATCTCTAACTGATGAGAAGTTCCACCAAGATCCCAAGAGATGCTACGGTTTAAGAACATCTTGTGATGGGTGGACTGCAGGGTGTATGGAGATAGAGAACTGGAGAGACCAGCTATTGCAATAGCTCAGGTGAGAACTCCGCCTGTGGTTAAGTGGCACACCTGCTAGGGTGTGGCTAGCAAGGACCTCATCCTTATATTATCACACAGAACAAAGGACCCTTAAAAACAAAATGTAGTGACTCTTGCATGGAGTATGTGGGGGAGTAAGGACGTCTACGTGTTGTTCATACCCATGTAGTTTGCCTATGGAAACTTCACTTAGAAATGTCCCAAATACACCCTCATGCCTGTTGTAAAACAGTGTTGGATAACTTGAGACAATCTGCCTTAGATAACTGAATGATGAAAATAAGGCATCTGTAGAGTTAAAAGGCAGGACTTGTCCTGGGAAGGAGAGATCTCCTAGGCCTGACATACGTGATGGTGATCAAGACCACACAATTCTCAGGGAACCGGGGTGCAGGGTATGGGGAAGAGCTGCGCTGATTTCCAAGTTCAAGTTGGCCAGCATTTTTTGGTTTCTATAATCTCAGAGACCATTACTGGGAGTGACTCCTCTCCACACCCTGCTTAATCCTCTTGCTGTTTTCCTAAATGTTTTTTTCTTTTTTCATACTAGCAGGTGGTTCACATGACTCTTGCAAACAATGAGGGCAATCTGCTGAGAGAAAACACAGAAAGGGGAACCTGGGGATGTTTCCAAGGAAGGGACCAAAACTCAGATGGAGTATCCAAGCCCCCTTGGCATATTCTCAGTCCCCTGCCCTATGAAAAGAGTTGAATCCTGATGGGACAGGTTGAGCTCTGCCAGGGCTGGGGGTGGGGTCAGCATGGGTAGTGGAGGACAATATTGTACTAAGGCAGGAAGGGCCTCTTCCTCCTGCTGGGAGTAGGAATAATTGATCCTTTCTTCATGACTGGTGTGTATTGCTTTTAGGTGCTGACACAAAGCCTTCTTTGATTTTTGTGAATTTGAAATGGTTTGTGGAACAGAACCAAAGAAGGGTCAAGATGTTTGTCTGTCTTTTGGATTTGTGTCAAGCAAAAGAGTCAGCTGCAACTCCTGATCCATACAGATAAGAGACAGGAGAACAAGTCAAAGAAAGTACAGGATCTCAGTCAGGATGTTCAGGGTTTATTTTTATGTATTATTGTACATACTCACAGATTCATCCATAACACGGGGGGGGGGGGGGGCGGTGAAGTCAGAGTTGCTATAGCAACCATAGTGCCTCAAGGCAGAGGCTCTGATACCTAAGGGTCAAATGGAACTGGTACCTTGGAGGCAGGTGCTGGTCTGCATTTTCTCTTTTCTAGCCTCATCAAAGCCATGCAGAAGAAGGGTCAGGGTCAGGCAGGTTCACAGATGAGTTAGGTCACCCAGGGAACCTCAGGAAAATGGGCTTGGTGGCCCTCTCTCTCCTTTGTGTGGGATAGTGTGAGGTCCTCTGAAACTCTGGGGATGGTCACTTCTGTGTGAGTGGTCACTGAATGTCCCGCTTCTGCTCCTGTTCCCCCGTGGGGAGCAAACTTTCTCCCTTCAGTAGTTGGACTGTCTGGGCCTCTTGAACCTGGCCAGGGATGGGGGCAGGCACTGATTGCTCCAGCTGCTTCTCCTGCTGTTCCTGTTGCTCCAGCAATGGCTCCTTCATCTCTCCCTGTTTCTCATCTCTCTTTTCTAACTCATGATCCAGTTGTGGGTCTAAGAGCCGTCGCGTCTCTTCCCGGGGCTCCTTTTGTGCTTTCTTTCCCTTACGTTGCTGATCTTGGCTTTCTGCTTCCTGATGGTCTTCATGCTGTGGAGGATGTGGCTGGTGATGTCCCAGGTTCAGTTCCTGCTCCTGTGACTTGTGCTGCTGCTTCTTGTCCACGTTCATTTCCTCTTGTGGTGATTCCTGCTGCTGCTTCTTGCCCAGATGCAGCTCTGGCTCTGGTGGTGGCTGCTGGCTCAGGCAGAGCTCTTGCTGCTTCAGGTTCTGCTCTTCTTCCTGTGGCTCTCGCTCCTGCTTCTTGCCCAGATGCAGTTCTGGCTCCTGCAGCTTCTGTGGCTGCTGTTGTCTGAGGTGTGGCTGCCCTAGCTTCGGTTCCTGTCCCTGCGGCTCCTGTGGATGCTTCTTACCCAGGTGCAGGTCCTTCTCCTGTGGCTCCTGCTCCTGTCCCAGATGGAGTTTTTGCTCTGGAGGCTTCTGTTGCAGCTGCTGGTTGGAAGGCAGGTCCTGCTGCTGTTCCTGGTTTCGTTCCTGTTCCTGTGGCTCCTGCTGTTCCTTCCTGCCCAGGTAAAGTTCCTGCTCCTGTGGGTTCTGATGCTGCTGCTGTACCTGGTGCAGCTCCAACTTCTGTGGATCTTGCTGTTGCACTTGCCCCAGCTTTGGTCCCTGTTTCTGTGGTTCTTGTTCCTGCTTCTTGCCCAGGTGCAATTCCTGTGGCTCCTGATGCTCCTGCTGACCCAGGTGCAGCTTCTGCTCCTGAGGCTCTTGCTGCTGCTGCTGCTGACCCAGATGCAGCTTCTGCTCCTGAGGTTCCTGCTGCTGCTGGGGATTCAGGTACAGCTTCTGCTCCTGAGGTTCCTGCTGCTGCTGCTGCTGTTTTGGACACAATTGCAGCATCTGTTCCTGAGGCTGCTGCTGCTGCCGCCCCTGGTGCAACTTCTGATCCTGCAATTCCTGCTGTTGCTGTCTCAGATGCCCCTCCTGAGGCTCCACGGTCTGCTGCTCTTGCACACACTTTTGTTCCAGCTGTCCCTTTCCAGGGGTTGTGTGTTTCTCCTGGAGTTCTGAGAGGCCCTGCACTGGCAGCTCGGAGGGCATCTTCTGGCATGGGGCAGATAGTGGAGCTGGCTGTTTTACTTGCTCCTGCTGGATATGGGCTGGAGGAGAAACAGTCTTGAGGGATTTCTGACTGGTGACAGAAGAGACAGTCACTGGTAGTGTATGTTCCTGGGACATCTTAGAGGCAGTTGTAGGTTAACCTGAAAGCACAAGGGTAAGAGTGGCAGGTTAAAGGCAGGGGAAGGAGATAAACCCATGGAAATCTACAGACTCCTTTCTCTTGGGCAGGGCACTTTCTTAGCCCCTTTAGGCTGTCATCCCCAGAAGCAGCAGGGAAGGAAGAGTGGGACTGAGGAGGGGCAGGGAGGAGCTTTTCTGGGAATTTCCTTATTCCCAGGCAAGAGCCAAGAAACAGACCTCTCCATTCTGCAAGGTGCACTGGGTATCATTTAAGCTTCGGTTTTTGTCTAGTCCTTGTCTACATCCTTATCTTGTACCTCTACTGACTAGGAATGAGAGATGAGTTTTGGAAATATGTCACCACAAGAGAGAAGGTTTTAGGAAAAGTAAAACCTAGAGGAGCCTTGGGTCCTTAAAAGCCAGTATGCTGGGCTGGAGGGGAACTGAGAGGTGAAGTCATAGCGCCAGCCTCCTACTTAGTCGTCTAACATATTCTGTGTCTCCTTACTGAAAAGCTGTGCGTTTCTGGGCAAGTCGCTTAGCTCTACTGGACCTCAGATTCTTGTCTCTGTAAAATTAACAGGTTGGCCTCTTCAGGCCTCTAGAGCCCTTTCTTTTCTCCTGACCTTCTTAATTTTAGCTGAATTCCTGGGGGTAAGAGAAAAAGGGAAGCTGGATGGTTGTTGAACGTTGATGCTTGTTGTTTCAAGTCTTACACTTCTAAGTTGGAATTTCCTATCCTGGTCTGCTTGAGTTTCTCCAAATAGATAGTGCCACAACACCCAGTGACCTGAGCCCCCCCAGAAGGAAAGATAATGTAGCCAAATCCAGCCCCAGAACAATGCCCATGTCTACCAAGGGTGACTAGCCCGCACTACCTGCCAACCCTGGTCCCAGCAGCCGACACTCACCAGACTCACAGTAGGGATGAAGACAGAGGTTTATGATAGAGTGCAAGGCTGAGCCAGGACACCCTTTATACCATTCCTGCCTACCCTCCTTACCAGGCTGGAGGTGAAGGACTGGTTTTACTGCTCCAGTTCATCCACTTCCCCCGGCTCTTTTCTGACTCACCATAGGTACCTGAAGCAGCAAACCCTTCAAGGCTCCTTTTCTTTTTTTTTACCCTGCAGCTCCTGCCTGGCCAGAGGGTTCTGATGGTTCAGTGGCTCCTGTGATGCCCATCTGACCTGGTCACAGAGGAGGTTGGGGAGGTGAGGAAGGCATCCTCCTGTTTCGTGACCTCACCTCGACTTACCCTGTGAATTGCAATGGATTTATCCTCATGGCAGGGCTGAGGGGATTCAATTCTAAGCGTGTGAAATAAAAAGTTTTATGTCTTTCTGGGAAAACCTGCACAAGGTCTATGACATGATCCTGGAAGATGCACTTCTCGAGTGGTGGAGTTTGAGAGCCCTTGATTCAGAACGTAGCTATAATTCCTTTCTGGGGGGAATAAAAGGCTTCCACTCTTTCCCCTCTGTGTGGTGATAAAAACTCCAAAGCCTGTTCATTCTGAACAACAACAAAGGGTAAGATGAAGTGCATTCCTTTTGTGATGATAAAACAAGTACTCTTGATGATTAGTTTTGGAAATGTGTAACAATATGAAGATCAGGCCAAATTGTCCCTTGCTTTCCCTAAACCTTATCTACAAAAATCAGAGTAAGAAATCATTCAAACTGGGGACTTGAATCTGTTCCTCCCCAGGACCCATGGTGACCTGCCATACATTAGTAATAAAGTCCAAATCCACTGCTGTGCTGTTGTCTTAAAGGCTTTGGGTGACCTGGATCCTGCCATTCTCTGGAGCCTTGGTCCATGCCCGTGCTTTCCTCCCCCCTCTCTCTCTCCCTCCCTCCCTCTCTCTCTCTGAGAGCTATACTCCTACCTCAGAAAGAGCCCTCAGTTCCTAGGACATTTCAGTGCTTCTTTCCTTTGAGCTGCTGGGTACCTGTTCTCCTTGTGCCAATATGGCCCTCCATGTGGCCTTGGCTCTAAGGCCCCTTTGAGTTTCAGTGTGTTGGGATCTGTCTGAGAGTTTCTTCTGGGCACTGTAGCTAAAGTGCTATTTTGTGGTTCATCTCATTTCACTAATAAAGATCTACAGCTCTTCTATTTGCACTTGCTCATTTATTGCTCCCCAGGCCTTACACTGAAAAATAAGCTACCTAAAAGCAGATGTGTATTTGGTACACTTGCCACATTTCCCATGATGTCCCCAGAATCTTTTCAAAACCATCACATGCCCCCACAGTCCTATCAATGCTAGTTGAAGGAATGAATGAACAGTGAATCTCACCACCTGGAGATAAGCACACTGCAATAATTCCAGTGTTCACACATGTTGATGTGTGTATACATGGTATGTGTGTAAACCCCAAAGTGAACTGTGACTTGTCTCTCTTTTCACACTTGGTTAATGGCTTATATATGGAGCTCATTTCCTTAACTTCTCTGCTTTATAACCTAATTAAAAAAAGAAGATACCAGAATGTGAATACAATATTCAACCTTGGGGCTAATTTTGAGAAGTATCTTAGTTTTCTGTAGTTATCTTAAGAGGTAAACCAAGATGTCTATTTACAGTGTGAATTTGCTGTGTCCCTGGAGTTCAGTCTAGAGAGAACAATGGAGGACTTACAAGGGTCCTCTGGAATGTTTCCTTTCCTTTCCTCATGCTTTCCCTCTGCCTTGAGTTCTCCTGGAATCTCACAATGCCTCCCCAGCAGAGCCTGGACTGTGCCGATTCCTGAGGCAGAAAAAGCCTCCCCCAACCAGCAATGAAAATGAATTGAGCATCCTTTCATGGGCACCAATGCCTTTCTTCTCTATTGTTGACCTCATCTGGGAGGCACCTGCCTCTCCTGAGCCCAGGACAGTCAGTACCTCAGCAGCAGACCCTGTTCAAGGAGGTCACACCAGTCTTATGAGTTTCCAGAGCATCAGTATCTGGCAGATCTGCCTCCACCCTCTGATTCACAGCATAATGAGAGCTTTGAGAATATGGTGTACGTGTGTGTGTGTGTGTGTTTGACCACTGTATAAAGCTAGCACTAGGGGACATGGGAAGGAGGGGAGATAGAACTGTGTGTGTTTGTGTGTGTGTGTGCGTGCACACATGCATGCATGCATGTTCAGGAGGTGCTGGAGAAGCTCTGACCTTTTAGGGCTCAAAGGCCCCCTGTGGTAGCCTGAGGTTGCCCCATTTAGGAGTCAGGAAGGCATGTATATGGGGCAGACTCTCAGGGCCTGTGATCCACACGATAAATCCACGTAACTGTCAGGCCCCCGCACAGTGTAATGAGGATGAGCTCATACTCCATGACACATGAAGAAGCCTTGACCCAGCCTTGCCCTGGCCCCAGGAAGCCCTGTCTGTTTCTTCCAGAGGCTGAAACTGTGTGATTTCTCTGTTTCTGTCCCTGTCTCTCAGAGGTAACACATTTGAAGTGATCATTAGTCACGAGAGGGGAAGGGATTGGTCATTGCGATTCATTGCCCTAGGAGGCAATGATATTGAAGACAACGTTTAGCAAGTTGCCAGTGGGGTCATGGCAGATGATCCTGGGAAAGTGGCTTGCACCAGATCTCTTTTCCATCTTGGGTAGCCATGCCTCATCTGTTTCCTGGTATGTAAATGCTGGCACATTGCAGGCCAGTAACTTCTTCTCTACTAATCTCCTCCTCTCTCTAAGGCATTGTCTCATCTCGTCCTTCAGTTTGCAACCTATACTCTGCCTCTCTGCCCACCTTGAGTCCTCCTCATCTTCTTCCATGACTTCCTGAACCAGACCTTTGCCCCTCACTCATGTGTCCTCCTGCTGCTCAGGCAGCAGGAAGATGGGATCAAGGATGGGTCAAGAAATTGATCCTTCCTCTCTGGATTTCTCAGTTGAGCTCTCTGATCTGACCTGCTTTTCTTTCCTGCATCTTCCTCTGACTGCCCACCTTTCCCTATTAGATTGCTGGCTCTCAGTTTCAGTCACTGATGCCAACCTTTTCTCTTGGTTTGGGGAGTTGAATAAAGATAGCTAACATTTTGCTCTTGATAGCAGCAAGTAAAACAAAAACATGAATGGCCCTTGACAGGAGAAGAAGGAAGATGCTTGATTGCTCCATCCTACACCTAAAAGGAATGCCCTTTCCCTTGAGTTCATTGTCAGAGAAGTCACATTCTCCATAGTTGATTCTCTATACCAGAAAACAACAGAATATCTGAGGTGGGGGGAGAGGTCCTCGAAGAATACATGGGAAATCTCATATAGGAGCATCTCTATTGTCTAGTTATTATTAATAATACTGGATAACGATTTAAATTCAGGATAGGAAAATTCCTAAAACAGGAAGCAGATTAGTAGCCAGAACAGGGGAAAGGGATTATGAAGAGTAACCCCCTAATGTGTATGAAGTTTCCTTTGGGGAAAGGTATTTGTTTTCATCAGTTTCTTGGAGGTTTCACCATATGTGAGTGTACTGAATGACAGTGAGCTATTCACCTTAAAATGGTTAATTGGCTGGGTGACAGTGGCTCATGCCTTTAACCCTAGCTACTCAGAGGGCTGAAATCTGAGGATCATGGTTCAAAGCCAGATTGGACAGAAAAGTCTGTGAGACTCTTACCTTCAATTAACTACCAAAAAGCTGGAAGTGGAGGTGTTTCTCAAGAGGTAGAGAACTAGCCTTGAGCAGAACTGCTCAGGGACAACTCCCAGACCCTGAGTTCAAGCCCCAGGACCATCTCTCTCTCTCTCTCTCTCTCTCTCTTTCTCTCTCTCTGTCTCTCTCTCTCTCTCACACAGGTTAATTTTAAGTGAATTCCACTTAAATTAATAAAATGAGTAGCAACTTTCCTTAAAAAAGCAAGTCACAAAGTAAAGTGGTCAATGATGGTTGCATCCATTCAACGCAGTTTTTATTGAACATCAACTAGGGAGACTCTGGAGACAGAGAAATGAATACAATGAATGAAATGAATACACACTTCCCACCTTTAA